ACACAGAACCACACAGAACCACACAGAACCACACAGAACCACACAGACTTCCCTTTGTTCAGCAGAGTTCCTGACATCACCGCGTCCTGCGGAGGCGGCAGCAGCTAAACACACACATGGTTCTGGGAGCCTCTGACCGGGCAGAACCATCCCTGTGACTTCCTGCTGAAGCCTCAGTAGCTCGGCCCAGCCGTCCTCTGACTCAGAGCCGGTCCTGGTTTGTTCTGGAAGCGGGCTGGACTTTTTGGGCCCAGTTAAACGGACCGTTTTCTGTCCTGCCTCGACCACACCCTCCAAGGTTCCTCTGCTCTTTCAAACGCAGCTACTTCAGATTTCTTTGCATCAAAGACATCATTTGATTGTTTGTTGAAGGCAGTGATGAAAAGGCCTGTTAGCAAAATATCTCACAAACCAGAGGACAGATTTCCATGACAGTCAGTAAGTGATCATTGGCCATTTGTGTCATTAACGTTTAGAGTCAACCCGATTCATGATGCTTTAGTCTAAACTCAGGTCGAGGGATGAGACAGTTGAGCGGCTGGATCCGGGGACAAAACCAAGCCCTTGTTGTCCCCAAGCAGCCGGAGTCCCGGCATTCCTCTGGGGGGTGATAATGTGACGAGGGAGGAGTGGCTGCAGCTGATTTACACGACAGAAATCTAATTGGTGCCATAAATCAGGCGTGTTTGATGCAGCTTCGTTATTAAAAACGGTTTTGATCAGAGAGAGCAGAAGCAGCTAACAGGACCGCAGATCAGGAGACGATGAATGAATCAACATCCAGCTGCAAGCAGGACGGTTCTCTGGGTGTCAGAGTGGAGATCTGAACAGGTCCTCCTGGAGGACTTCAGGCCCGGCTGACCCCTTTCCTTCCATAAGTCTGAAGAGGTCTGAGGAGGACCCCCTCCTCCTCAGTCTGAGGACCCCCCCTCCACACACACACACATGCTGGGCCCTCGGCTCCCGTTATGTAAGCCGAAGCTGCGGTCTTCACGTCAACATTTCCACTCAGATTCCTGCAGTTCTGTTCCACAGAGGCTTATAATTATCTGGGATGAGTGTTGGTGATGTGCATGAGGATGTGCACGTGCCGCTGGTCTGCCGGTTTGGCTGTTGGACCATGTGATGGGTTCATACTGAAGACTCCGGGCTCTGCCGGGTCAAAACCAACCCGACTGTCGGAGCCGTTCAAACTGAAGCCGACCCATTTGTTGAAAAGAAGGGAAAGACTGAGAACAGTCAGAACTTCTGTTCTGTTGTGTTGTTCTTTTCTGTCGTTCTGTTCTTGTTGTTTTGTTATTCTGTTCTGTTGTTCTTTTGTTGTGCTCTGTTGTGTGGTTCTGTTGTTTTGTTCTGTTCTGTTGTTCTTTTCTGTCGTTTTCTTTTTGTTGTTTTGTTTTTCTGTTTTTTTGTTCTGTTGTGTTGTTCTTTTCTGTCGTTCTCTTCTTGTTGTTTTGTTCTTCTGTTGTGTTGTTCTTTGTTCTGTTCTGTTGTTTCTTTCTGATATTCTGTTTTGTTGTTCTTTTGTTGTGTTCTGTTGTTCTCTTCTTGTTGTTTTGTTCTATTCTGTTGTTCTCTTCTGTCATTCTGGTTTGTTGTTTTTTGTTCTGTTCTCTTGTTCTGTTCTATTGTTCTGTTGTGTTGTTATTTTGTTCTGTTGTTCTTTTGCTCTGTTCTGTTGTTCTGTTGTTTTTTTGTTCTGTAGTGTTATTTTGTTGTTCTTTTGTTGTGTTGTGTTGTTCTGTTCTGTTGTTCTTTTGTTCTCTTCTGTTTTTCTTTTCTATTATTTTGTTATGTTGTTCTTTTGCGTTCTGTTGTTCTATTCTGTCATTCAGTTTTGTTGTTCTTTGGTTCTGTTCTTTTGTTCTGTACTGTTGTTTTTTTATTGTTCTGTTCTGTTGTTCTTTTGTTGTGTTATTTTGTTCTCTTCTTTTTGTTTTGTTCTATTCTGTTGTTGTGTTGTTCTCTTCTGTAATTCTGTTT